ATGATATGTCGTGTACTCTGTTACAGGCAAGAAGGTTGCCCTTAAAGGAGAAGCTGACTGGTTTTGGGGGAAGGAGGTTGAGAAAAGAAAGAATAAAAATTGGAAAGGCAAAGAGAAAAGAAATGGAAGGAATGTCAAAGTATTTGAATCATTATGAGTATGAGTGTGCTTAAGCAAGAAGATGAAAAGACAAGGTTAGAGAAGAATGTGCTAAGTTGGGCTTGTTTGGATGGGATCACACCCATTTGTGTGACAGGGAAACATAGATCCAGATAGGCTCTAAGGACCCACCTAATGAAGGCGTCAGGTCTGCTTATCTGGCACTGTCACATCAGTGAGGTCACATTTTAAGAACATTTTGAGGCAACCTGTGAATAGCAAAGGGCTCTTACCCAAAATCTTCCCCAACTACTCTGGCATCATAAGTCTCTATCTGGAGTTTGTATTAATAATATAGAAATTCCCAATAATCACAGAAGCCTATTTGACTTTCTTAATCATTCTTCTCATTCCATAATAATACTCCTCTTCTACCATACATAAGAGGTAGAACCAGGAACACACACCCCCAAGAACTGAAATTATAAAGGATTGTGAGATTCTACTAGGAGACAGAAAGCATCGTCCACAATGAGTACTAAAATAAGATTTGCTGGTAGGAAGTTTTCTGTCACTTTCACTCGGAGATAGAGTGTTTCTCAACCAGTGGCAATTTGTCTCCTGAGGTCACCTTACAATGTCTGGGGGCAGTTTTGATTTTCACCACTGTGGGAATGCTATCACCATCTAGTGGGTAGAAGTCAAAGATGCTGCTAAACATCTTTCAATACAAAGGACGGCCTCACACAATTAGAAAATGTCAACAGTACCAGGTGGAGAAACTCTGCCCTAACCTATCTGGTGAGCCCTTTGAGGGATCAGTGGACGTTTCCACATCTTCATAGTCATGATAAACATAAATGTGAAGCCAAGCTAGGACCACCAAGGCTATTCCCTGCAGAAATTCACCCAGGGAAATTGGATGCGGCAGGGAGGTTTGAGGGAGCAGCAGAGTGAGGACTTTCTGAAGGATCAGTGAGAATGCCAGGCCTCCTGGACATCTCCATGGGAAATTTTAGGTTTTTCCATAATACACTAATTACTGCCCTGTCACATCACAAGGAGAACAGGCTGGCAAACCTAGGTACTAAACTAAATAATCTGTGGCATAATCTAAACATACAACGGTAATTAAGCCTGACAACTTAATATGCTACTGAAATTTAAATGTACAGAAGTAATCTACAATTAAGCAATCTTTTGTAATAGCACCCTGCCAGGCTGGAAGATTTCAGGTATAATACTGTGTACTATTAGGTAGCAAAAATATTGACATTAGTAAAATGTACCCAGGCTATGATATGACACATTCAAATTAACCATTGCTAGAAAAGGAGATGGAGTTAAGGTGGAAATTCAGTTGCTGTCCTTCAGACGGCATCAGAAGCAGATTTTCATACAGCTGCTTCAGCTGATGTGAATGTGTCTGTACCCAATTAGAACACTGGATTCTAAACATCAGGATATGTCAAGTCCTTTATTAGCAGAGAACTGGAATCAGAAAGTGGGGTTCAAAGGGGGATTTCCCCATACAGAGGTTTTTCCTTTGTAGAAAACTGATTTCAATATTTTATTGAAAATTCCAGTCAAACCTTGTATATCTTAATAGGGCTACAACTTAAGTAGGTACCCTGAAAAAAAGTATGGGCTTTGAAGTTGGTACTGATCAGGCTGTGAAGCTTCCTCCATTATTTACAAGCCATGTGATCTTGGGCATGGTATGTAAATCCTGGTGGCAGTTTTCTCATTGTCAAAGGTAATCTCACTATAGTTAACTCACAGAGTACATGTAATAATCATGTAATTCTTATCTCTTTACAGTGTCTACTGCTTACAGCAGCCAGAGATCTTTTACACATATTCATTGGATAATCTCATTTCCTTACTTTAAATTCTACAATGTTGACCCATGGCAATTAAAGGAAAATCTAGGATCTTGCAAGCCAGCAGGGAGCTTTGATTCTCTCTTCCTTCATCCTGTTCACACTGGCTATTACCCACCATGGGTTCTTTATCATAACCCTTCTGCCAGGATGACTTTTCCTTTTTCCTCAGATTCTGTCCCAATGTCAGAGAAGTCCCCCTTTGGGGCCTTATCTAAAGTCGTGTCTCCAAACTCAATGACTATCCTCTGAAATTTGGGGTTTTCTCATACTCATCAATATCTGAAAATCTTTTGTATTTGCAACATGTGGTATGTGACTGGGGCAAGAACTGTACATAGTTCTAGTATGGAGTAGATACTTCAAAATATTTTTAAAGGAAGTAAGGGAGGGAGGAAGAAAAGAGGAGAAAGGAAGAAAAGGAAAGAAGGAAGGAATAAAGGAAGGAGGAAAAGAAAAAAGGAAAAAGAAAAGAATGAAGGAAAGAAAGAAGGGCAAAAGAAAGTAAAGGAGAAGGGGGAAAGGGAAGAAAGAAAGAAGAACAGGAGGAGAGGAAAGGAAGGAAGGAGGGAGGGAGGGAGGGAAGGAAGGAAGGAAGGAAAGGTGGGAGGGAAGGGAAGGAAAGAGAAAGGAAGGGAAAGGAAAGAGGGAAGAAATGGAAAGAAAGGAAGGAAGGAAGGGAGGGAGGGAGGGAAGGATGAAGGGAATGAGGAAGGGGAGAAAGAAGGGAAGGATAAAAGGAAAGGAACGAAATTAGAAAGGAAAAAAGGGAAGGAAAGGAGGGAAAGGAAGAGAAGAGAAGGGAGAAGAAAAGGGAAAGAGGGTGCATGAAACAGATAAGGCATCTTAATCTGAGAATAAAATAGAACTTTGATTCCCCCAAGTCTTCCTGCATTATGGAAATCTCAGACATATTTTTAAGGAAAAATAATTTCAGGTATTTAGATCCCATCAAGAGTAAGAATTATCAGTGAATTAGGATCTCTAACCAGCCGTGTAAACCTTCCTCTTTAATAGCGGTGTGAATCCAGTTAGCCCTCTGCGCTTCCATTTCCTCACCAAAAACTGAACAATTTTGTGAAATCCTGGAGGTCACTGATGGTTCTAGACATAAACCAAATGTCTTGGGTTCTTCATGAGGAGCTTCAGTTTTTATCCTACATACATTACTCAGAAATTTACTAGAAATCAGAAATATATTCAGCTCTACTCTGCATTAACAAGAAGTGGTTCTTTTCCATCTCAGTAGTGAGATGGGAAAGGTGTGAAATATTGTAGTATGTAGCATTTCCTCTGGAAACAAACCTGTCTTTGGATTTCCCCTTTTCCTGGTCTCCACCTCAGTGACTCCATTCCCTGTCATCTTCCCATTGTCTGTTTCTCAGAGGGCCTAAGCACAGAGCTCACCTCCATTCATTCCACTTCTTACCCCTACCAATTACCCCACTCGGGGAACAAAGGACCTTCCAAAGATTTCGCTCTCTTCTTAGCAGCAAGGAATCTTAATTACAAGGAGATCTTGAAGGTTTACAATATTTTTTTCCTCTTACATCCTCAGAAAACTTTAAGAAAGTAACCAACAGTTGTAAGCACAACTTACAATGCCATTATAGTGTTTTTCTTTTTCTTTTTTTTTTTTAAATGGCACCCTATTTTCCCATTTTCCCCACCAACCCTTTTTTTTTTTTTTTTTTTGAGATAGGTTCTCGGTCTGTCGCCCAGGTTGGAGTGCAGTAGCATGATGATGGCTCACTGTAAGCTCTGAACTCCTGGGCTCAAGCAACCCTCTCACCCCAGCCTCCTATGTAGCTGGGATTTCAGCTGTGCACCACTACACCCAGCTGATTTTTTAAAAAATTTTTTTAGAGAACGGGTCTCTCTATGTTGTTCAGGATTGTCCTGAACTCCTAGACTCAAGTGATCCTCACGTGTTAGCCTCCCAAAATGTTGAGATTATAGGTGTGAGGCACTGCACCCGACCTTCTATTCCGTTTCTTTCCTCTTACATTTTTAGTTTAAGTTGGAGACTAAACCTCTGATGTCATACTTCTTTCTGAAACTCACCGTGTGATAAAGCTCTTTCAGGCCAGTGCCGTGCATCCCTGTTTTGGGGTCGAAGCTCACAGAGGTTACTGCAGTGCCTTATCTCCGAAGACAGGAGGGAACCGTGTCTACAACCTGAGCACGGAGATCAAGGGTTCTGAGTGACATCCCAGCCCAGTCTTTAAGAAACCCCACAGCTTTCCATATGGAGACAGGCAGGCAGCCAGTTCTGCAGAGACAAAGCAATGCCTCAGCCCAGGGAGGAGCTAAAGAAGCAGAGAATACCCGGAGTCAGCAGCCACTCATAATGTGTCCTAAAGCACTCATGGGGACAGCACCACCCATATATTTGCAGTTTCCTTAAAATACTACAGGCAACTTGATGTGGTTTGAGCTACTGCCTGACTGAATTGTTACCTAGCACAGCCACTCAGTGGAGAGTAAGCATATCTTAATTGTGACATCAATAAGCAACTACTGGGAGAACTTTGCCTTTTTTGTAAGTCATTTGAAGCGCCATTTAGAAAGAACAGACATAGCCAGGCATGATGGCTCATACCTGTAATCCCAGCACTTCAGGAAGCCAGGAAAGGAGGATTAGTTGAGGCTGGGAGTTTGAGACCAGCCTGGGCAGCGTAGCAAGACCCCATCTCTGCAAAGATAAAAATAAAAATAAATTAGCTGGGTATGGTGGCATGTGCCAGAAGTCCTAACTCCTCAGGAGGCTGGGCAGCAGGATCACTTGAGTTCAGGAGTTGGAGCCTACAGTGAACTCTGATGGCACCACTGTAGTCCAGTCTTGGTGATGGAGCAAGACCCTGTTTCAAAAAATGCCAAAAAAAGAAAAAAAGAAAAGAAAGATCCCCCCCACCACACACACACATACACACTCTCCTCCCCACATTTATCAAAAGGAGATGCTGAGGAGACCCACATCATAATTTTTTGTCTAAACATAGTAAAGGATTTGGGATTTGCACATGAAAGTAACTTTGCTAAGATAAAGCACAAAGTTACATGATATTCTTCTACATTTTTGACGTTTCGTAAGGCATTGTGCTTGCATTTATCACCTCTTTTCTTCTTTGCAGGGGAGACTGCAAGTTACACAAATGGACATAATGAGAAATCAAACTGCCGAAAAGTCCCTATCCTTATAGAACTGAGTAAGTGGTGTTTCGAGGGCAAAATTCAATGGAGAAATTTTTGTGATATATAACTGATGTTCCAAGGATCTTTTTAGAATGCACAAAGGACTCAGGAACCAGAATGGGACTCAGAGCTTCAAGTGCTTGCCCGGATGTTACATTTGGGCTTTGATCCAGCTGGGGAAGTCAGTGTATCTGGTGTCAAAGTTCAGAAATGACATCTGCCTTTTCCACTCTTCTAGTTACCAGGAGAGGGAGGGGGACCAGCAACTGGCTTAGTCTTATTCAGAGGGAGGGGCCACGGATTTGAAGACTGCTAGAAAGAATCTCCCTGTACTGACTAGTCAAACCCATCACAGGACTTTATGTCAGATGCCTTCCTTTCCAGCAGTGACACCAGCACTGGGCCAGTGTAATGCAGGAGAGGCACGTGGGGTACAGACTTAGAGAAGGTGCTCACCCTTGGTGTACCTAAATTTTGTGTCCCCTGTATTTCCCCCCTGTCACCTTAATCCCAGCCCTGAGTGATACTTTCCTAAAATAGGCAAAAAAAAAAAAGAAAGAAAGAAAGAAAAAAAAAAAAGAAAAAGAAAAAAGAAAAGAAAAACTCTTGAAGAATTAACAGAATATGCTGTTATCTGTCACCAGCACCTGTACAAAACTTCCCTAGGCACAAGGAGCTCTGGGAACAGAAGACAAGGGAGGGAAGGCAGGGAAGGGTAACCAAGTGCATTTGGTAAGGTGCATTGCTGGGGCACCAGGGGACACACTGGGATTTACTACTGAGTATAGTTGAAGAGAAAAGGAGAAAATCCCAGGCAAGAGGAGAACGGTGCCATTAGTGCAGATTGAACCAATTCAGAGATGATCACTAAAAGCTGCTCCTAGCTGTGATTTGACCTATTTTATTAACCAGAAAAATGCATAATTGGCATTTTATGAGCAAGATTACCAAAACCAGTGGGATTTATCCCAAATTAGATGAACATCTAGAGCTCTTAGTCCTGCAAAGTGGGAGAACTTAGAGAGGAATCAGTAGGTGTCACCGCCATGTGAGCTGGGAGTGACAGTGTAGAAGGTGAGAGGTGAGTCACTGCTTCATTGCTACCTAGCATTCCTGGCCGTTTTATGGAGCAGAGGCTGTTGCAGCTCAGCTCTGAAGATCCTAGACCCCTGGATCCTAGTACCTGCCTGCCTATTTGGAGCCACCTTGAAGCTGTCTGCTGCAGTTTTTAATTATATTTTACTTTTTTCCTCCCCTTTGAACCATCTCTAACTGTTGAGCTGTATACAGTTGGTTCTCTGTATCTGTGAGGCATTGGTTCCATAACTCACTCTCCACTCCTCCCCTTGTCCTACTTCCTACAGACACCAAAATCCATGATGCTCAAATCCTTTATATAAAATGGTATAGTACCGTCAACCCTCTGTATCCATGGGTTTCCATCTGCAGTTAATTGAATCCTTGAATGCAAAACCTGTGGAAATGGAGGATCAACTGTATACATCAAATGCATTAATTCAAAGAAGAGTGTAAGTTAGAGTTGTTGGGAAGAAATCAGCCAGTTTCTCACTGACCCAGAGGTGCAACTGGTCACTCTCTGGGGACTTACAGGCTTTGTTTCTGGCACCAAGTAGCCCTTATCAAGTTAACCTAACAACCCACCTGCCAGCTTGTCCAGGTTCTTGTTGTCTAGCTGACTGGAAATGGTCACATTGACATGGGAGCTGCAGGTCTGATGTTCTGTACCACTTTGTTACAGAACGGATGGGAATCTGAAGGAAATGGCCAGGAAAGCTGAGGCCGCTAGTTTAGGATGATACAGCAGGATTTGGACAAAGGCTCATGGGATATTTGTGTGTGTGTGTGTGTTTGTGTGTGGAGGGTTCACAATGCAAGAAGAGGAATGTAGAAGCGCACAGGAGATGTGGGTTGATATTAGTCATACCTTGCTCATCTTTTATAAAAATAATGCTGTTCTCAGAAGAAAATGATTCATTAATATTACTTCATTCATTAATGTCACTTCCCCCAAACATACTGAGGAATAATTTAAGGCATTAGGGGATAAGCCAGACATAGTAAGCAATGGATTCCGAGTTGTGTGTCCAGCATATTTGTTTGGATTGGTCATTTCAAGAAGTGTAAGGTCAAGAACTGTGGAGAGTCTAAGGCTATCCTATTTGCAAAGCAACAGGTGCACCTGCCCCAGGCTCATGGATGCTGGCAGAAGATATAAGACTCCTGGATCAGAGAACAAAACAAAACCAATCAGTTTTATTACTCAGAGTAATAACAGCAGCCAGAGTATCCTCATTTTTGTGTTGGTTGCCCAAGCCCTGCTTTCCACCGGGTGACATGAAGAGTAACACCTGTACCCACAGTGGATTGCTCTTTAGGATAGGAACCTGAACTCAGGAAACCAGAGTCTTTTATAACAGGCAGTAAGCATGCCTTCCCTTTGCTCCTGTGGGAGACATCGTCTCTATCTTCCAATGCTGTTCTTGAGACATTCTTGAAGCAAGAGTCTAAAACAAACTTTGGGAGGCTGAGGTGGGTGGATCATTTGAAGTCAAGAGTTTGAGACCAGCCTGGCTAACATGGTGAAACCCTGTCTCTACTAAAAATACAAAAATTAGCTGGACATCATGGTACATGCCTGTAATTCCAGCTACTTGGGAGGCTGAGGCATGATAATTGCTTGAACCTGGGAGGCAGAGGTTGCAGTGATTGTGCCATTGGGCAGCCTGGGTGATGAAATGAGACTTACTCAAAAAAATTTTTTTTAAAAAGAGTCTAGGAACAAAGGCAGCCTGTGCCTCTCCTCTCACGGACCACAATGATGCCTGTATTCACCTCAGAGGCTGCCTACAGGGGTCTGAGTTGGACCCTGGGGCCAGTACAGACATGCTGATAGATAACTTGGCTACTGCTATACTGGCCTTAGTTAGGATGATTCCCTAAGCCCTTGCCACACAGAGTGCCATCCATGAATCGGCAACCTCAGCAGCATCTGGGAGCTGGCTGGGCATGTAGACTTTCAGCCCTCAGCCTAGATCCAGTGAATCAGAATCTGTATTGCAACCAGATCTCCAAGTGATTCATATGTGCATTAAATTTTGAGAGGCACTGGGCTTAAGTGACGGGTGACCATGTGTTCCTATTCATTCCTATGATACCAGGGCAGTTTTTGAGCATGCTCCCTTTTGCTCCCCCCAAATATCCTGGTTTGAAAGATGAATTATACGAGGATGACAATCAGAAAACTTCTTGAGAAACTGAGCCTGTGCTCCAGCAATGTCCCCTTGATGGTGAATGTACCCAACAGAACTATGTCTTTTGTGGGAAGGAAGATATTTGGAAAGGAAAGAAAAAAAAAATGTACTGAAATAGGGGTAGATCCAACAGAGACCCCAAAGAAGACATCAGATCTTTTGATCAAGTGGTCGCCCCTTGGCCTGCATGGATGGCAGTTCTTATATTCTTAACTTGATCTGATTGTCTTTCCTTTTTGCCTCTTGCCTTGCAGAAAATCCTTCCAACATTCACTTTATTGAACGGCTTGGTGGACTGGAAGGGTCCCTCCAAGAAACAAATCTGCATCTCAGCACTGCCTTTTCTACAGGCACTGTTTTTTCTGGCAGCTTCTTGGATTCTCTCCTGGCCACGGTAAGAAAAGTTAAGCCACAGAGCCCACAAAACCAAGCCCTCTGCAGAGAAGTGAGCAGGTGGCATAGAACTGAGTAGATGATAACATCTCTCAGTTCTAAGTTCTCTTTGATTTTCAAAAACAAGCTTGTTCCCACACATTAATTTATCTTTTCTGATAACTACTTGGTGTGGGAAGCAACATTTTCACATTTTCAAGATTAAAAACATGAGGCTCTTGGAGCCAGAACCCCTGATGCCAGGAAAAGTGAGTGCTGGCCTCTCAGCTTCGAAGGCATCACTGCAGACCAGTCCCCTTGGGATCAGAGCTCAGGAGATACTACTTTCCCTTCTCTCTAAAATCCTCCCAACAGCTCATGTGGAAATTGGCCATAAAGGGATCCAGAGTTTCAAGGAAGAAGCTCTGGCCTCTGCTGGTGAGTTTTGTTCAAAGCTAAGTCAAATCTCCCTCCATGTTCCTCCTCTCATGGGGAGCATTGTTGACTACATGGTTGTTCTTTAGTTTTCAGCACCTCTTTAGCCACCTGGCAAATTTTTTCCCCCTGGATGGAATTAATTCATCCTACAAATGCCCACTGAACACCTACTCTGTGCAGGGCACTGTTGGGGGGTGGTGCTGGGGAATCTGCAGCTTGAGAATGACAAAAGCCTCACCCACATGGGGCCTGCTGAGTGGAGGGTATTGGCATATGCATCATAAATAAGTAACACAGAGGGATGCCAGTTACACGGGCTAAGGAGATGTGAGATAGGAAATGTGGAATTTGGGGAAGGAATTGCAAGATTCAATAACATGCTGAGAAGGTGGCAGGTGAGCCCAGCTCTGGGGAAGAGAAGAGAACACAGGATTCAGAAGCAGTGAGGTGGGAGCTGTTAGAAATAGATAATCGGTGCCATGAAGAAAAGTCAACACGGAGACAAAAGATCTCTCAGCAAGGGAATCTTTACTTTCTGCAAAAAGGGTGCTCAATGGCAGATGGAACAATGGTGAGAGCACAGTTGAACAAAGGAAAAGCAGACATATTTATCCCTTACGCATTTGGGTCATCCTTACTGCTGTGTCCTGCATTCATTGGCCGGAACTATCATCACAGTCTTAAACTGATACCCAATTTGCTAATAACCTAAAACTTTCCTAAATAAGTAAGTGCAAGGAAAAACGAAGAAGAAGAGGAAGTTGCTTACGACAGGTTTAAGGAAGCAATAGCATTTCCACATAAGGAAGGTACAGAAACTATGAGCTAAGACTTGCCTGGGTCTGTCCAGGCATGCCTGAGTAAGCCAAAACAACTAACTGGAGGAAAATGTAAGAAGTAATAGTTGATAGGAGGATTTAGAGTAAGGAGCTATTATTCCTAGTGTCTATTATTTTATTTTTAAACCAAGATGAGCTTTGAAGAGGAACTTTTCTACTTTCTACAGAGTACACCCCAGGGTGTTAAAGGAGTTTCAAATTGACTGAGACTCATGAGATCGGTGTGTAGCCATTGGTGAATGACTTGCAAGAACTCTTCCAAAGGAAAGCCACATAACCCACTGCCTCCCACACTCCTCCTACTTGGGATTTTCAAGGGAAGAGCTGCAGAATGGCTGGATGTCAATATGCAGATGCTTATATGCAGAAGAATCTGAGCACAGTTGATGAACTTGTGTCTTCTGGAGGTCCACATGAAGAGGCATCACGCCTGAATTTCAGGAATGCCTCAAGGCATAATTTGCAAGTTTAAGGGAGCATGGCTGGGCATATCCATCCCCTTCCTAACATCAGTGCCATTTGGCATGAGATTGTGTTGCCCTGGACTCTGCCTGTCTAAGCCGTGGTAGGGGTCTCATACACCCCATCAAGCTCTTAGAGAGAGAATGCCACTTAAATGGTAGTTTAACATTAAATAAATTAGTAGAGTGCAAAGCTCCTAAAGAGTTAAGCAGCTCAGCCTTCACTGTGCCAGGGAGGTACTGGAGGAAGTCAAGTCAGGTTACTTTTCTGAGAAGGTGGCTCTGTCAGAGAAAGTGTTATATCACTGTCTGTCACTGATACATCAATTAACTCGCCTGGAATTAATGACTGGAGTGTCAGGCAGGAGGTGACTTTCGATGAACTTGACCTGTCTGCAGATACATTTCAGATGGGTTTCAGGTCCCAGTTCTCTTCAGAGATCCTTAGATGTCAGGCAGCTTCATGCCTTAAATTAAAATTGAGACTTAATTAAACACCACCAGCTCACGCAGGCAGGAACAGAGCCACAGATTCTATTTAGAATTGGTCAGAAGGGCAGGATGGACAGGGAAGGGCTGGAAGAGTAGGGACAACAACAAATGAACACACAAGCACAAGCCAGTATGAGGAATACAGATTTGGTCACGAGCCTAATTCCTCCCACCACTCAGCACCTGATCGTGACATTGGCCTTGGGTGGTCTAAAGAGTGCAGCTTCTTCCCAGGCTGCCTTCAGATATTGGGTCAATGGGCTTCACTTGGTGGAAGAGGAAGATTCTTGCTGGAAAACAAAATGTGCCACATAGAGAATAAAGGCCACACAGTGTGACCTGAAACTGCGGTCATCACATGAGGTCACAACACACAGTGGATCAACAGCTTTGCCTTCAGAACTCTTTGTAAGTACTTATTTTAGGACTGGCATTTGTTCAACTGAATTTGGGCAGGGGTGGCAATGGAGCATCAGGGAAGAAGGCGTCTTCTATGTCAAGGGTGCCAACTGAATCTTGAACCTCTAAATCTCTGCCTAGCAGTTTTCTGCCCCAGCTCTTGAATCTTTAATAATGTACGCCACAGCAAAATGAACACACTGTAACATTATTTAATGATGAGTTGAACTAGGCCATTGAAAATAATTGTGAATGCTGATTATTTTTGTTTTCCTTCTCTTGTTTCCCTTCTCTCTGCACCTGATTCTACTGGTTCTATGTGCCCTTATCAGTGTGGGGGTGGCTTTCCATCACCAAAGAAAGACCCAAGGATCAAGACTGAGCCTCCAATCTCATTGTCTCCTTTATTCTGGGGACCATTTGATCTTGGGTGGACTCTGGATCTTACCACCTGGTCACATGGAAATACCCTCGGAGAGGAAGAGAACATTTATCACCTTCCAGTGACAACATCTGGAGTCACTATAGTGGCTCCTGAATACATTCTCAAATACTTCACTTATTCTCTGTATGTGCTAGAGCATCTCCTGGCGGAGGGTTGGTAGGAAGGCAATGACCTCGATCTCCCCATTAACTTAGAAAGGCAGTTGTGGGTCCTGGAGCTATGACCTCCACAGACCCCCCAAGGCAGACATTGCTGATGACCACAGTTCTCTTCCCCCAGATCATACCTTTTTCTATATAGGTCTCTAGGCAATTTATTTTGATGAGTTTTCTTGTTGAGATAATATCAAGAATAATAGCTATTGATCTTAAGAAGAGTAACATCTTTCAAGCACTTACCCAGAGCCAAGGAGTTCACTAAATGCATTACCTCCATTATCTGGTTTAATTCTCCTGTCAAATATGGAAGCTTAGCTGAGTAAATAATCTGCCAAAGGCTGCATCATTTACAAGTAACGAGTTGGTTTTCAGATCCAAGTGTATGTGATCCCAGAGTCATTCCTTGCTGCCACAATCAACTGCCCCTCCAGAGATCTATTTCTGTAATGATCAGTGTCCTTGCAACACAGGGATTTTCAAGTTTAGGTTAGAGGGCTCCTTCCCTGACAATGCTCTGTGCAGAAAGAAGGAGATGTGCCCACCCTGCCTTGCCCACCCATACCTCTCCCCTCCATCAGAGCAACTCCACTTTCATCTGTGGTATATTAGAGGTGCCTGCATAAGATTCAATTGCACAAGAGACATCTATTGTTAAGAAGATTTTGGAACTCATTCCCTTGAAGTTAGGATGCAGGACCAACAGAGAGGCATAACATAAACAGAATCCTATTCTCCTCTATTCTGAGACAGTTTTCCAATTTCCAGCCAGAAGTCTGGTGTGGGAGGCAGGAGTCAGTCATTTTGCCCCATTTTGCATGTCCCTTTTATCCATAATATCCCTCCACAAAGACTGTATTCTGGGTTTGACACTTCCAACCTGCAGCCCAGCTTAATGCACCAAGAGATCTGTGTCCCATTGCAACATAGAGGTTACAGAGGTTACAATTAGACTCTCAACGTTGGTTTCCCTGATACCTATACTACACAGAAGGTCAAGGCTAAGAGCATATGCATTCAGGACAGGCTCCCTGAATGTATCTGCTAATGCTTCAGCAGTTTATGAAACAAGATGAGAACACCAGCCATTACTTCAATCCCAGTGAACTGTATTTTCAACCGGATATTAAGGGCCCTCTTCCTTCCCATGTGTACTCAGACACCTCCATAGTGCTGTTCCACCTTTCTCTCTCCACTGCCCCTAATAAACACCAAGAATAAATGTACGAGTCCCAAGAAGGCCACAAAGCCCACAGTCATGTGCTGTGAACTTGTCACTGCTTAGAAATACTAAGGTTTTGTTTAAATTTTCATGCAATTTAAAAAATTCTATCCCTTGATAGACCTGTGCTAGTTTTTTCAATGTAAAATGATGGGTTTTTCTCTGCCACCTTCTGATACAGTTGACATTAGAATGGCTTCAAGTACCCCTGGTATACTACCCTAAACTCCTGACTAGCTGAAGAAATATGCCTATAGGATGTAATTCAGATTTGCTTTTAATCCTCTATCAGTTCAATGCTATAAAAATTCAAATATGGTGGAGCAGCCAGGCCCATATGCAGGACTCCTATCTTGTTCTACAATCAAAGACTTTCAAAACTAGATGTGAACTTGGGGAGCACTTTCCTTTACTTGTAAGGAAATTGAAGCCCACACAAATTATTTGACATTCTTAAGGTCACTTGGCTTGTTAGTTGCAATTTTCCTATCCTATAATCTCACTCTTAGATTAGAAGTTATTTCCCGAAGAATGTTTGATCTTAAGGTCTTTGAGAATTCTCAGAATGAAAAGCAGCATTTGGCTAGGATGTTAGCATCTACACCATTAGGTAATATTCCAGGTTATGACAGGGACTGTAGCATTCATAGTAGCTAAAAGTTACAACATTATGGGCATCAACATTTTCTAACATTGAAAGTCCAGGTTCCAGTAAACAAGACGATATTAGAAACATTGGCCAAATTTGAAAGTCTGAGATATTTCAAGTACCCTTGAACTTGCGGATTTTCTTGTGAAAGACAAGAGGGATGGAGAGAGAACAAGACGGGGAGTGAGAACTAGAGGGAGGGAAGGAGGAAGGAAGAGAGGAAAGAAGGAAGGAAGGAAGGGAGGGAGGGAGGCAGGGAGGAAGGAAGGGAGAGAGGGAGGCAAGGAGGAAGGAAGGGAGGGAGGGAGGGAGGAGAAGGGAAGGGAAGATAGAAAGAAAGAGATATTGAGAAAGGTCTGTGCCAGAAAACCCAAATAATAAAAATAGGAGATGAGCTCACAGAATATGGGTGACATGTAAATCCCATTATTTTTCTCAGTATAGAATTATAATCCTTTTGGTGTCAGAACTGAAGAAATGATATATTCAAAAGCTAAGCCTCTCTCAGTTAAATATGTAAAGCACATGTTTCCCTAGAGTTATTGACACCAAGATAACCCTAGAATTTACACCTTTTCTTTAATCAGTGGAGAATTATTCTAACACATTATGTTTGATCACTCTACACTATGGCCACATGTTCTTAAA